TCTTTGATCGTGCCCTCTTTTTAATTACCCAGAATGTTCTCTGGGGGCGCACCCTTTCTGCCTGTTTTGCAAGGTAAAAAAATAAGGAAAAAACTGAAAGCAGGAAAGGAGAGGGAAGGAGAAAAAAGGCTCCAGGGGGGTTTATGTAGATTGATCTCCAGCTATCTCCAACTAATCCTCAGGCCTAGATATCCTGTGTAGTGAGTGCTAAGTCGCATGTGCACCACTGCTCTCGCAACCAGGACAGAAAAAAAATTAAATGAAGACTTTGAGGATTTCCACAATCAAGAGAGGTACTTTTTTTTTTTTTTTTTTACTTTTGTGGACTTATAAATCTGAGCATCTCTTAAAAAATAATCAAGTGTTCTCTACAAACATGACGGGTCAGAGAGCATAAGTAATCTTATTGAATAAAATAACAGTTTTATGAATATCATGTGGGAACACTAGCTGTTATTTTTAACAAAATATTTAAGTTAAAGCCGGCAATAGAAAATCCCTTGGAGCAATGCATAATATATTTACAACAAAGAATTTATTCCCAAGATCAAACCTCCTTAACAACAATGACCAATATATAACTAAAACAGTTGTGTGAGGTTGTGAACATTTACAGTTAACCAGGATGGACACAGATAAAGCACAAGTTTTCTCCATTTTGTCAATTTTGTCGCAAGGAAAAGTGAGCATGTGAGCATGTGATCTATGTGTGATCTATGTCTCGGGCACATGTACACACCGTCTGTGCTTCCTCTTTCTTGTGTTGACTACTTAAAAGATTAGAGTTTGTTAAGCCAGATCACCAAAAGATACATGGATGTGTTGAACTGGCGTCATATATAGAAATCTGCTTAAACAAATCAAAAGTCAGTAAGTCACTTTTGGAATTTCAGAATAAATGTTTTGTATTTTTTCAATTATACAAAATTGTATGATTGTAGACCTTTCTGCAGCACACAGTTTATCTATAGGAAAATATGTTTTTTAAAGCCAACTGTCTTTCAGTTTAGGCTCGACTTGCATCAACTAAGACAACACTTGAGTAAAAGGGAAAGCGAGAACTTTCTGTCTTCAGATGCGATATTGTATCCCCACCACTGTCAAGTGCTGTGCTATGAAAGTGACGCTTCATATTGAGCTTCAGAGCCTTGAATCACTGACTAATGATGAAGGCTGCACGTTAATATGATAAGAGGAGGAACGCTAGATGCAAGTTTCAGCTTACACTGACATCATGGAAGCATATATTGATTAACTGTAATTGAAGCAACACTATTCTTGCTCCTGGCATATAATTAGCAGATCCTGTATCTGAGAACTGTCTCCAGTTATAATTAATTGCACTGGCATGAAGGACTTGAAATATTAAATGCATTATTGTGAATATGGTATCATGAATGGTATAATTATATTCTTTTCATACAGTTAAATCAATCTGCCTCTGCCTCTGCAGTGTTTTAAACTTAAATTTAGAAATCATGGATGAGACTCAGTCCTTGTCCAAACCATTTTGTTGTATTTAATGGTGAATCTAGCAAAGTGGATCACCTATATTACAGAATTCTTTCACCCGCGTAAGATCTAGATCTTTCCCAAAAAGAGTGACGGGAGCTACGATCCATGACACTGATTTCTGACTTTCAACTTGTTATCATGTTCTGGTTTTCTGTATCGTGGGCACTTCAGTGACATGATATCAGAGGACACCAATGATTGATTAAGATGAGATTATTAGAGAACTGCTCCAGTACATTTTTTTTAACATACCAGAGTTCTGCAGAGGACAGGAGCTTGCATACATGAAATGTTTTGCGGTTGGCACGATAAACAATTTTTTTTCATTTGTTGCTGAGTAAAGTATGAGGAAAAAAAGTGACATTTAAAACATTTTCCGATTACATCAGCTGTGGGTCCTTCCTGTCACAGTTGTGCTGTGGATGTGGAGAATTTTCTCCCTGTTGCTTCATCCAACGTGAAAGCCTGAGGATGGATCTGTCACAACAGTTATAATGTTAAAATGTCGCACATCTGACAGAGTTGTGAGTCACACATGTGTCTATGGAGAATACGCTGCACAATGCTGTGCCCAGGCTGAAAGTTCTCCATCAAGCACACAAGCATAACAATGAATGATGTCACACAATGCAAATCAAATGCAGAAATATGCATTTTTATTATGGATTAAAGGAGCAGTTCGCATGTTTGAAACCGCAAGTTCACAGCACAGACGTCAGATGGTAAAACAGTCATGTTAGGCCATCTGTTATCCTGGAATAACCTGATGATGTATTAAATATTCCAGTTTTAAGATGATGTGATGAGATATCCCAGCTTTAAATTCAAATTACCCCTTCTTTTGTCAAACATTTTGAGAGCAGGTGTAAGGTGTTCGTCCATTAACATGTTCTGCTCCCCCCCCCCCCAACACTGGCTTATCTGAAAGTGTAATGGAGATAATCCTAGTTGTTGTTATGGCCAGAGTGATTGCAAACAACAAACAAAAAACTCGAAGGAAGCAATTCACTGAACGCAACATTGACCAGTTTAAAAGGTTGTGACAAAACCTGGAAAGGATTAACAAAATGCAAGCGATAGCCGCTCGTGTGTGGGTTGTGGTGTGTGGTCGGTTATCTATCGGTGCCCAAGAGTCTTCTTGCGCCTGTTGGGGGATCTGTATGTGAGTAGGTCTGGGCTCCATTGCCACCTATATATATATAAATATATATATAACTATAAGTCAATGCATTTCTTAATATCATTTGACTCAAATATTAACGTTATTTCCATCTGATCTGTGACAGATAATGGCCCAAGACCTTTTCTTACCTCATACAAATGCTTCTGCAGTTTTCTTTGTATCCTACATGGCAGATCGCAGCAGAGGCCAATAAAGAAACTGCAAACTTAAATCCCTGCATAAGCAGCGTAATTGGGGCTGCAGATGCTTTTAGAGAGATAGTCGTCCTCGGGGTCCTCTGGAAGATACAGAGAACATCCTTTGCTTACAGTCAACAATGTTAATGTGTTGATCAGACAACTGAGACTCATCTGATCCCATGGAACGCTTTTCCTAAACAACCCGAGCAGGTGTTTTCCATTAGCTCCTAAAATGAAAAACAAACTAGAAAATTGATAAGACGTCATTGACTGGAATTGAAGGGCCCATTAATGTTTGAACCCACTGAGGATGGTTATGAAAGAGGTTGTAATTCAGGAGTGCATTCTTTTTCGGGTATGCAGACACTTCTTTACAGTAAAATAGTGATATAATAATCTATCAGAAGTAGGCAGCAGTCAGGTAAGGCTTAGCTTAATTGACTGTATTTCATGAAACGCTTAAATCAATTTTACTTCGCTTGAGTTTTTCTATAAATCCATTTATGTAGAGTATTATGAGCCTTTCTTTACTCCTACAGTACCTTCTCCACGCTGCAGATTCTTGGAGGTCTGCAGCCATTAGATGAGTTTCTGATGTAAAAGTGTTTCATTAGCACTACTTTTTTTAAGATGAGTGGTACAACCAGAATTCTGGTTTCATCAAATCATTTGTTATTATGGCCTTGAGGTTATAATATCTGTGTTAGAAATGAGTGCATAGTCTACATACTCACTGTGGAAGTCTTGACATATTTTTTTCAGCTAGTAAACCGCGCAATGACCAATGTCCAGGGTTTGTATTGGAATTTTGACAAAAAACATTTCTAGATAAAAGTAACCTTTTTTCAATCTATCAATTTTAGATATTCTATCTGTAACTGATGTAAAGAGTATTTGCAATATGCATTATCTTTCGCCTGTCTCTGAGAGTGTTTATCCAGTTGATATGGTGCATTTTAAGTTTCTGGTTCGACTGAAAGAAGAGCTGCATTGCTGATTTTAAGAAAATAGTATTACTAAAATATCTAAACCCACAAAAATAGCTTAACGCAGCAAGGCAATCACAACAAATATCACAATGTTTTCAAAAACAGAAAGAGCCAAGGCAAGGAAATCCCATCTATTGAAACCATAAACAGCAAAACCATACCAAAAACAGAGCCCTGTATTCTCAGGTGGAGTTTCCATTCAAGCACATAACAGCAATGGTGTCTAAGTGAAATAGGAGAAAATATTATTAAGTTAGATGCAATACCATCATCTTCTTAATCAGTTTTGGCATGAGAAATGATTATTTGTTCACTTTATTCTGATGCATGAGCCACATTACTGAAAACCAAAAATGTGATTACTATTTATGCAGGAAGAGATATCCAATTACTCTGAAATCTCTGTGCAAATATTACCTCTTCCCGGATTTCACCTCTGCTGGTAGAAAGGCTTCTTGGGATAATTGAGTCGTGAGTTTTTGTCTGGAAATGTGAATATTAGCTTATGTAGTCCTTATCTGTCTAGATCAAAACAAAGAAATATTTTATGGCCGCGAAAATAATTCAGTTGTAGAAATTTCGCCCATCTTTCCTCACAGCGTTGTACTGTTTACTGTCAGGTTGGCTTCAGATAGAAAATAACAGCAACTGGTGAATTGCTATTTGCATTTCAAAGGTTGCTGTGGTTTAATGGCAATCTCCTGTTCCAGCACAGAGGGGCTGTTTTACAATTCTCTGGCATCCTTTGATTCACCAATCATTAATTTCACCTCATTAGTCCCATGCTTTGTTATCTTTTATTTTGCTGAGATGATTTGCTTTTAAGTCTGGCTGATGCCGCTAAAAGTACCCTCAAATCTTTGTCAAAACATCTGTAGTTGGCTGTATTCTGGCATTCATCTAACAGCTCCCCAACCTCTCTTTTTTAAAGAACGATTTGATGTCCTCGGCCTCACCTATTGTAATGTGTCTGCTGCGCGATGAGGACGCAGGAAGATGCAGACAGGACAGGAAGAGGCAGCTTGTGCCCCTGTGAACCTGCCTGTTGATGTTCTGTGCCACCCCTATCGCGGAGTGATCTATTAATCACGCCTCCCTGTCTCTCCCCTGCCCTTTTCCGCTTCGTCTCCACAGCTCGGGTGTGCGACAACGCGATGCTGCGCTGTCAGAACGGCGGCACGTGCCACCACCATCAGCGGTGCCACTGCGCCCCGGGCTTCACCGGCGTCCTGTGCGAGAGAGCCCGCTGCCAGGGTCCCGGAGAGTGCGACGAGCTGTCAGGACGGGCAGCGCTCCATCATCACCCCGCAGGCCGCCACCTCGTTCTTCCCCTCGCGGTGCTCTCGCTATCAATTGTTTCCCTTTGCTGAGAGACACGAACCAAATCCTCAACCAAACCACCCTGAGACCACAAACGCTGAGACTAAAACTTTAAACCCTACGGACGTGAATAACAAAAGAATGTGTGGACAATGTGCTCAGCATACTATATAAGCAACTCTTTTGTAAATCCAAGGCGGATGATGGTGCAACAGGTCGCGCACTGATGTGTTGTACTGACAGATTGAAATATTTATGAAAGGCTTGGGAGATACACTGTTGTTTTATAATTTCCACAGAGAAAAACTGTCGGCGCCCTCGGTTGGCGATTATGTCATTGTCTACTAGTCCATCAATTGCAGTCTAGAAAGCCACAAGTTGAAGGCAAACTGTACAAAACTAGACACATGATTTCTAAATATAATCTGAAGTTAATAGAAAAAAAAATAGTGTGGACAGATACATCTTTAAAAAATCCTGCCTCACTGCCTTGTTTCTTACTTATTACCCTCTTCTTCACTTTTCCTGCTTTGCTTCATTGTTTCCCGTCCCCTTTTCCCCTCACTTCCCCCTGTGCTTTAGTGATCCTGGTGATTTTACTTTGCTCAAGGGTGTCCTTTGTCTTGCCAAATGCTGCAGTTGTATTACTATGGATCAACCCACTTAGAAGTATCCGTCTAGTACTTTATTTGGTTTTTCAAAGGCTTTATAGTCTTGCTTGATCTCACCTGTATGAGGAAAAAAAAGTTGTAACATACTGTAAGTGTATTTAATTTTGTATAAAAACAGATATTTTCATGACTACGCAAAACAAAAAGATGTATTACTTGTTTTTTTATTGCTGCCGGCCTGTAGATGTGGACTATGAGTAAGTAAGGACATTGGTTGTAATATTTCTTTGCTTGTGTGGCACATGGTTCTCTTCATGCGAGAGCTGCTCTCAGAACTGTTTACATACGCACTCACAGAATACACTTCCACCAAAGCGCAAAAGTAAAAATGTCTTTGTCTTGTTGTTGAATCGTAGTTATTTTAATGGGTCGTAACATATTTGACACAAGATGTCTTGAATGAAATTGTGTGTCGTTTGTAGATAGTTACAAGCCAGTGACAACAGCTGAATGTCATTTTGAAGGATCTTTAAAAAGCTATCAAATCCGGTCATTGACTGTTACGTTGAAGCACGAGGAGCTGTAAAGAATATATCAGCCGGTGTTGGAACACATCCCTGTTGTGCTCATGCAATGGGGGTGAGTAAGAGGTATCAAGCCAAAATCCCATCAACCTTATGTAAATTTTACAAGCAGAGAAAAGGAGATTGCACGGCTGCCTCAGAGGTTGTCCGGCTCAAATCTATAATCACATCTAATCCTCGAATCAAATGGGAAGAGGGGAAGGTATTCTGAGCTGGTGTGGTTGGAAGCCTGCATCCTGCTGCGGGAGCCAGCACAAGGCTGCACATTCAGGAAATGAGCTTTAATTCATGGAGGGTCAATGAATAGAAATGAAGTCACATCCCACAGGGTGACATATTAAGAATTGAGACCAATTTCATTTGAGGGATTCATTTTACTCCAGAAGTTGTCATGAAACACCTAATTGTGCTAGAGTTTAATGTAAGTGCCTCTCATTAAATGACACTCTATGATGGAGAGAAGAAGCCTTTTTTTAAAAGAAAGTCTTGTTTTTGAAAGTAGAATGAAATTTGTAAGAGGTCAGTCCACTGTGTGAAATCAGTAGCAAGGGATGGATTTTCTTTCTCGAATAACAAATGAAGTGTTTGGGGGACAAAAACAAAAGCCTATGATCAGCATAAATCTGAAGAAGAAAACAGAAAAATAACTATGTGATTGTCAGTTAATTTAATGTAGAAAATAAATCAATAATGTGAGTGTCTGTGTGCTTGTGCATGTTTTGACCACAGGAACTACTTAAGCTTAAGTTAGGGTCACACTCGGACCAAAGCAATATTAAAACCGAAAGAGATCTTGACGACTGTCCCCACAGTCTTGAAGCCTTGCCATGCATGCTATTTACTATTTTTCTGAGCTATGGTACTGGTTGGGAGACAATCACCAAATGTTCTCTGTGAACGAGGGAATATTCACAGTTTTTACAACATTTACCTTTTTTTTAGAGCTTGCATCTCAACACATGCTCATTCCCCCCTATTCCTTATTGTTAAGTCATACTCTGCCACATCAGTTTTAAGTGCAAAGGGATGTAGATATTTACCCTTCAGGAGCATAAGGAATAGCCCACTAGTGCCATCAGTAAATGGTGACAGGGACACATTTTGGATGGGGGGGGGTATATCTACCTCTCTGGATTGTGACCTATGTCCAACTCCATCCATGTCCTCTTTCCAGTCTTTTTCAGCTTCAGTCACCCACTGTTCATATTTGTCGGCATTAAGAGTACATGGTTAAGTTTATCATCTTTAGAAGGTTAATAAAGTAGCATTAAACAATGTAAGAACATTTCCACATTTTAATAGCTATTCTTCCTCTATAGCAATAACCGGTACTGATATTTTATTGGATTCAGGATGTCAGGTGATGCAAAACTGTCCACCATAACAGATTAGTCTCTGATTTCAAGATATTTAGACATTAGAGCATTAGAATTATTTTTTCAATTCTTATTCTAAACCAAACCATTTTTTTCTTATCAGCTAAAGGGGCTCTGCTATGTTTCAGGTGCCTAAAGGGCTTTGAATTTCCACAGAAAGCTATATTTGTTAGCAGTTATATAGGAAGCTATATTTGTTAGCAGTGGGACATTCCATGTTATCGATTCTTTGGTTTGATTTTTGTAAGAGCAGCATGACTCTTTTTTTTGACGGGTTTATTCAGAGAATAAAGAAAAGAACTGCTTCTGTTCACTCGCCATGCTCCCTACTGTTCTGGGTCACAGCAGTTACTTGTCCTTCCTCCTTTCACATCTGAGACTTGGGGGGATAAGGGTATCAGGAGGGCACTTTTAGACACAAGCGGCCCTTGTGTTCTGCCGCTGTCAGCACTCATGGCACAGAAACGAAGTTACATAACTGAAGACATGGGGTATTCAGGATTTGGAAAAGAGGAGGCTCAGAAACATGACTGAAGCATTCAACCTATTAGTCAATCGATATCAATATTCAGCTCTATGTGGCACTCAGAAGCAGAATTGAGGCACAAATTGGTTTTGTTATGGGACGAGAGGCAAAACGCAGCTGTCATTCAGCAGGCACTGCTTTTATAATGAATGTCACTGTATACAATCTCTCTTCTCTCATTTTCCAAAAACATTTGAATATTAATGATCACTGTGCTAAAAATAGGGACGGAAGGTCTGGTTCATATCGCTTCCCCCGGCTGTTTTAAACCAAGGGATATGAAGTAAGGCAAGCTTCTACTTAAGTCATGAATTTCAGAGATGTTTATCAACATCTGCTGCTTAGAACCCACTTAGGGGTTGTTGGTCTTGAAATTTTTTCAATGCTCCAATTATGTGTCGGTAAGACGTTTTCCTTGACCCTGTCACTAAGCACGCTGCAGATGCTGGTTCCACTGACGCTGCAACAAAACAAACAACAAAAGCTGGGCTACACATGGAGAGCTACATCTCTCATAAAGACTTTGTATTTCTTTGTGCAAAAAAATGCCAACCACAAAGTGACTACAGCTTAGACTATGGAAGATACAGCTCATTGGAAATATTTAAATGTATGCAAACACACACACATGCCTGTTTGTACTGGTAGTTAATGTTGCAATACTCGTTCCGTTAAGATAAAGAAATTATACCTGATTTTGTGAGATCTTGGAATTAGCCAAATAAAAACTAACTAACCTCCCCATCCCCAAAATGGTAATCTGAATAGATGCTGGGTTTAACCTCAATTTCAGAACTTCTGGAAACAAGCCATAGCTACCTGCAACATGATTACTCTCACCAACCATCTAGCTTTAATTATCCTATGAAAAATGCTTTTAACGTAGCAGAATGTTTACCTGAAAACCACTGTTCAAACATAAAAATCCTGAAACCGCCTCACTATCCAAGTCTGTGTGGACCAGGGTTTGGAATTAAAAAAGCTTTGGCTTTTGCTGGGCAAATCTACAGATCACAGCGATTCCTTTCAAATTACTTTCCACATTATGTCCTTACAGATGCTGACAGGGCAGGCCTTACTGAGAATTTCAATCATGCTCAAGTAACCTGAATGTGAGCAAATTGCTTTCTGTACTCTTCTCTTTTGGGATACTGTTGATTTGAGATGGGAGTTTAATGAAGTGGTGGATTCTCCCTCTGGTATACTGCCTTTTGCTTAGCTTATGAATAAGGATGCCAGGTAATTTTCAAATAATTGTTCGAAAAATGATAAAGTGAATTGTTGGATAACATAGTTAGTCCATGTGCTTTCAACAAAGACTCATCAACAAATTACTTTTTATGAGTATTTCAAACCATTTAAGCAAACCGAGGATCATTTTCAAGACTCAGACACAATAAAGCATGCAAAGGGGCATTTCCTATAATAAATAGGTTTAGGGCTATTCATGACTTATTCCTCAGACACAGACTCCATTAGATTTTTTTTCCCGTCAGATTCATCTTCAGTACATCAGAGCTTTGCCGATGTTTCATAGAGATCATTAAAACCCTAACTTGAATAACCTGCCAATGACAGCACAATGACTTCAATTTTCATTGAATCAGCTGGATTTTTTTCTCTTGATTTTATTAGTGAAGTTTGACTTTGATACGCTTTGTCATTGGGTTCAAAATTTTTATGCAGACGTTTCATTCTTCATGCACAGTCTGATTCACACAAATGTGATATTTAATTGCCCTCACACATGTGCAAAACCTAGCGTCATTAGAAAAACCTATTTAACCCTGTATTCCCACTACTCGTCTGTGACATCCCAAACAGCTCATCAGTTCCCACTTCAGAAAATGTCTCAACTGCATTTTCTGTGATCAGACTTCAGATATTGCACTTATGGAGAATTTGAAGCAGCATGTCATATGTGGCTTGATGCTGCTATTACCATCTCTGACA